GTTGACTGTATCATCATGGGCACTTTTTTGACACTGTAGTGACACTATAGCCAGGGCATTGCATGCGAGCTGAATGTTCGCTGTTCACCAGGGGAAGTTGGAATCTATCAAAAAAAGCTATATTATCCACAAGGTCATGCCGGCTCTCCGGTACAAAGCAGTAACAATGACGCTTCGACGGCTCGTTCTGATGGCGGTAATGGTCCTTCGATGGTGCATAGGCCTTGATGTAACTTTTATGTTTTGGGTGTTTTGTACTTTTGATGAATTTTTCTATCTACTATCTTTTTTTTGAGTCTAAACACACTTTATTATTCAAATAATTTCATAGGGATACAATGAATGTCTGGTGGGTTTATAAGCCACAAATGTCGCCCAAAATCCAGACCGAAAGCGTGCTTAGTGAGACTATGCGCCTCAATATTGGTGGATCTACCTTCGAAGATGAAGGTACATTGATGAAAATCTCTTGACGTTTCAATAATCTCTTTGACGATGCTAGCATACGTCCCTCCCGTACCATGCTTGATGTCGTCTGCTACTCCCTGACAGTCCGTAGCCACAATGAAATCGGACAGGGCCAACTCTGAAGCTAGTGCTAGCGCATCCCGGCAAGCCAGTGCTTCGAGAGTTGCAGGCTCCGTGACCCCCTGTATTTTGATTGCTGATGCACCCAAGAACTGGCCAGAGGAGTCTCGGCAAATAGCGCTGAACGAGCCATGCAGGTTGTCTCTCGAGACCGCTCCATCAACTCTTATCTTAGCGAACCCCGGCGGTGGGGAGATCCACCTCTGCCTTGGTTGTAAAGCATTTGGAGCTGATTGTGGAGCGCTCTTCTTGGGTTGGCAATCCTCCAACTCTCTGATGTATCTCATGATGAAGTTATGCGTGCTCAGAGGGCTTTGGAAAATATTTTCATGGAGTGCCTGCCGACGAGCATACCAGAGAGCCCACATGGTAACTGCTACTTGGGCGAATTCAACAGAAGACAGTGTGTCCAAAAGGGAGAAAAGCCAACGTCTTGCATCCGGCTCGCGGGTGCTGTTCAGAACCTCAACCAAGTCATGATCTTGCAACGCCCATACACATCGCGATACTGTGCGATGGAGCAACGAGTGTTGCCATGAATCTTCAGAGCCGCACAAACCACATCTCGTGGTGGTTGACATGTTCCGATGGTGGAGGACATCAGATGTGGGGACCGACTGTTGTGCTAGCCGCCATAGGAAGATTTTAACTTTTGAAGGTAGATCCACTTTCCAAAGTCTCTCCCAGGACTTAGTATCTCTGGCAGTATCTGACGAGTGTCCTCTCCCCTCGAGCCAGGCTTCTCTCCTCATCTTTGTTTCAACAAGCATACGGTAAGCCGAACGAACTGTGAAAACACCGTTCTTCTCATGTACCCATGACCAAAAATCCTCTATATGCCTCGTGCACAAAGGTATCGACATAATTGCTTGTGCATCCATGGGCAAAAAGATCTGTGAAACTGCAGCTCCGTTCCATTCTGCGCTAGGGAGGATAAGATCACTAACCCATTGAGGTGGATTAGCAATCAGACTAGCAATAAGTCGCATATTTGCTGGTCTCGGGAGCCAGTTCTGATCCCATATGTGTGTCGTGAGTCCATCACCAATGTGTTTAATGATGCCCTGCTTAAGAACATCGCGACCCTCGATTATAGCCCGCCAAATTTGAGAAGGAGCCGATCCAATCTCTGCATTCAAGATATCAACTCCTGGGTGGTATTTGGCCCTCAGAACTCGTGCGCTAAGTGAGTCTGGGTCCGTTAAGATTCTCCATGTTTGCCTTGCCAGGAGAGCAAGGTTAAAAAGCTCGATATCCCGAAATCCAAGACCTCCACAATATTTTGGTTTGGTCATTGTGCTCCATGAGACCCAACTTAGCTTCCTTTTCCCTTCTTTGCTCCCCCACCAAAAGTTTCTGATCAAAGAGTTAATGTGCTCACAGAGACCATGCGGCAGTTTAAAACATGACATGGAGTAAACTGGAACGGCCTGAGCCACTGATTTTATCAAAACCTCTTTGCCACCTGCAGATAAGAGTTTTTCCATCCATCCCTTAACCTTATTCCAGACTCTGTCCTTTAAGAACTTGAAAGTTCCATTCTTGCAACTACCCACATCTGTCGGCATGCCCAGGTATCTATCTGAAAGTGACTCATTTGTAATATTGAGTGCGTTCTTTACCTCGGTTTTGAGAAGGGAGGGGCAGCCCTTACTGAAGAACACCGAGGATTTTGATAGATTAATCCTTTGGCCAGAGGCATTACAATAACTTTCCATCAAGGAAGACAACTGGTTTGCTCCATAAGAACTGGCTT